TTCTATTTGAAATTATCATCAAATTGAAAATTGCTTTACTGTATAATAAATATGATTTTTTAGAAAATGTTATAAAAAACTAAATATAATTATAGAAAAACATTTATATTTATAATATTATATATAATATTACAAATATTAATAAATACACAATATTTAAATTAATGCATTTTCAACTTCTCAACTGATTTTATTTTATGATTATTTTGATTATTTGTGATTTTATGATTATTGATTAAGCAAATTCAGTTGAAATTACAACTACAAACAAAAAACATCCAAACAGCGATTAGAAAGTGCTAGAAAAAAACCCATTCCTAAATTCAAAATGATGCACCAAAGAGAAAAACAACATGCAAAACAAGCGCAACAACTAGATCTCGCTCGGAATAAATTGTGGTCAAAATGTAAGTGTAAACGTGAAACCGATTTGCGTTTCATAGTTTAGTTTGTTAGTGAAACGGCAGCAGAATGAATGAGCGTGTGAACTGTGGTGAACTGTCCGTCAGGTGGACACGCACATCCACGCCTCGTCCTGCATGAACCAGAAGCACCTGCTGCGCTTCATCAAGAGCTCCATGAAGAAGTACCCGGACGAGATCGTGCGCATGCAGGGCGGCCGCGGCCAGACGATGATGGAGGTGTTCGAGAACATATGTATGAAGAGATTAAAGAATCTGCAATCTGATCATCAAAAATATATCATTATGTACATACGTAAATATGCTGAATGAAAGTAGAATATCAGTGTAGAGTATTAGAATATACAAATATTTTTAAAAATAGAATAGAATAAAATTTGCTAGTATAGAAATAATCATCAACATGAAAGTAGATGAATTGAATATTTTTTAATAAATGATATAATCACAAATGTAATAAATGTGTAATGTATATAATACTAATTTATAATAATTGTAATAATAATTTATGCATTTAGCAGACGCTTTTATCCAAAGCGACTTACAGTGCATTCAGGTTATACATTTTGTACCAGTATGTTAAAAAATAATAGTAATAAATATACAGTTTTAGAATTTTTTAAAATATAACATTTGAATATTAATGTAGAGTGTTAGAGTACTGAAATAAATAGACTAATAAAATAACAATTATTAACCATGTAAAAATAATATTACAAATTTAAATACTTTTACTGTATGATAAAAATAAATATAATAATAGTATAATTAACTGTAAAAGAATAAATTATGCAGAAAATATAGAACAATAATATATAAATATCATATAAAACATCATAATTATACATTACATTATTATTAGTGCTGTCAACCGATTAATCGTGATTAATCGCATCCAAAATAAGTTTTTGTTTACATAATATATGTGTGTACTGTGTATATTAATATGTGTATATATAAATACTCACACATGCATGTATATATTTCAGAAAAATGTTATGTTTATATATTAAATATATGTATTTATAATATAAATTGTATGAATATAAATTTAGACATGTAAATATTTTCAAAATATATACTATGTGAGCCTATATATTATATATATATATATATATATACTGTATATATAATAAATATACACAGTACACAGATATTATGCAAACAAAAACTTTTATTTTGGATGCCACCAATCGTTTGACAGCACTAATTATTATATAAATATAATGTATAGCATTAGAATATTGAAATATATAGATAACTATCAAATTAAATTACTTCTATTTGAAATTATCATCAAATTGAAAATTGCTTTACTGTATAATAAATATGATTTTTTAGAAAATGTTATAAAAAACTAAATATAATTATAGAAAAACATTTATATTTATAATATTATATATAATATTACAAATATTAATAAATACACAATATTTAAATTAATGCATTTTCAACTTCTCAACTGATTTTATTTTATGATTATTTTGATTATTTGTGATTTTATGATTATTGATTAAGCAAATTCAGTTGAAATTACAACTACAACATCCAAACATCCAAACAGCGATTAGAAAGTGCTAGAAAAAAACCCATTCCTAAATTCAAAATGATGCACCAAAGAGAATGCAAAACAACAAAACAAGCGCAACAACTAGATCTCGCTCGGAATAAATTGTGGTCAAAATGTAAGTGTAAACGTGAAACCGATTTGCGTTTCATAGTTTAGTTTGTTAGTGAAACGGCAGCAGAATGAATGAGCGTGTGAACTGTGGTGAACTGTCCGTCAGGTGGACACGCACATCCACGCCTCGTCCTGCATGAACCAGAAGCACCTGCTGCGCTTCATCAAGAGCTCCATGAAGAAGTACCCGGACGAGATCGTGCGCATGCAGGGCGGCCGCGGCCAGACGATGATGGAGGTGTTCGAGAACATGAACCTGACGGCGTACGACCTGAGCGTGGACACGCTGGACATGCACGCGGTGAGAGTCTCGCACACACTAACACAGCTGATTTATACTTCCGCGCCGGACCTACGCTGTATATATTACGCCGTAGGCTATGCATCAGTTTTCATTTATACTTCTGCGTGTTGTCCGCGTCGACGTGCAGTACACATGCAAACCACTAGTCTGCAGTGTCCACAGGCATGTTGCTGGTGTAACCCGCAGTACCACGGCAAAAGCCGAAGGAGAAGCGGCTCGTCGGAGAAGCATTATAGCCGTGACGGCGGCAAATAAATATCAAATCATTAAATCATTATTTAAAACTACAAAAAGGAGACCACAACGGAACAGGAGAAGATGGCATACTTTCAATCTCCAGAAGCACTTGTACCACGGCAGATCAACATTGTTCGTCACGGACAACTACTGATGTATAATGCTATGTAGTACCGTATTGACCCGAATATAAGACAATGTTTTTTTCTTGGAAATACATCTGAAAAAACGCGGTCGTCTTATATTCAGGGTCTAGACTTTGACATGTCAATAATACACCCACAACAATAGGTGGCACCAAATACGCATACAACGAGTGTGGCGTGAAATACGTCATGCGTGTTGTAAAGATCGCGAGTAAAATCAAAAGAAGCAGAAAAGCTTACAGCCGCATGAGTTGTGACTGTCACGTTAGCCTGATGGCACCAAACTCTCTTTGTGATTTTAAAACGTAAGACAGTACCCAGATTTGAAGACTACAGTAAGATTTAACTTCTACTGTTAATAAGATTTTGGTAGGCTACTATTAGATGGATAGCCTAAATGTCCTAATTCAGATGGGCTACCTGTGCTTTTTTTTTGTTTTTTTATGGTATATCAAAAAGTGTATATTTTTTTAAAATGTGATTGCTGGTACATTTTACCAGTTTTTTACCATATTTTCAAAACAAAAATTAAAATAGGAAAAATATGCAATATGAAAATAATTGAAGACAAAATGTGTTTTACTGAGAAAAAACAAGATTTGTTTTTTAAAAAGCCTTTTTCCAAAAGGTACATCTGAAAAAAGGGGGGTCATCTTATATTCAGGCCAATACGGTATAATAAATAAGACAGATATTCTTTGCTTTGTTTTATTTTATATAAGAAGGTGTAACATTAAAATATATTAAATTGCACACAAAACTCAAATACATGCGGAGGGAGGGGTTCTAGCAGACCAATCACAGCATTTTTGGAGAGGTGCACGTCAGGCTACGGCGTGGGGTGTGCGTCTATAGGCTACGGCGTGGGGTGTGCCTCTATAGGCTACGGCGTGGGGTGTGCATCTATAGGCTACGGCGTGGGGTGTGCGTCTATAGGCTACGGCGTGGGGTGTGCGTCTATAGTCTACGGCGTGGGGTGTGCGTCTATAGTCTACGGTGTGGGGTGTGCCTCTATAGGCTACGGCGTAGGTTCGACGCAGAAGTATAAATTGGGCTTAAGACTCGCTCGCGCATGCTAACGCGCTAAAACGCTAACATGCCACAGCGAGTCACGTGACGTCTTCCGCTCCCTCCGCAGGACAGGAACACCTTCCACCGCTTCGACAAATTCAACTCAAAATACAACCCCATCGGAGAGTCCATCCTCAGAGAGATCTTCATCAAGACCGACAACCACATCCACGGGAAGTACTTCGGACACATCGTCAAGGTACAGACCACAATAATTCATCAGAAATCAGAGCAGCTATTGTCATATTTACAACTACTGGACTATGCATGTATTATATAAAACGATCAATAATTAATCATTGTCAAATAATGCTAATAAATATCTCAATTAAAATATTTATAACTATATTATATATATAATTATAAATAACATAAATAATGTACGGTATTAGAATACTAGCATTTATTTAATATTTGTATTAAAAGATAGTATTAATAATGTGAATGTACAGTATTGGAATATTTACATACAGAATATTAGAATATAATTAGGAATAAAAAGTAATAATATAGAAACAATTGGAAAAATAAAAAGTTTACTGTATTAAATACATTATATATAATTATTAGTGCTGTCAAATGATTAATCGCATCCAAAATAAAAGTTTTTGTTTACATAATATATGAGTGTGTTCTGTGTATATTTATTATGTATATATATATATATATATATGTGTGTATATATATATATATATGCACACACAAACACATGCATGTATATATTTAAGAAAAATAAGTTGTTTATATATTAAATATATTTATATATAATATAAAATAAAAGAATATGAATATATAAATGTATACACGTAAATATTTTCTAAATATATACTGTATGTGTGTGCATTTATATATACATAATAAATATACTCAGAACACACACATATATTATGTAAACAAAAACTTTTATTTTGGATGCGATTAATTGTTTGACAGCACTAATAATTATATATTGTAAAACAATGTCATATGTATTTCTATATGCACATTTAAAAATGCGTGTGTTTAAACTTTTAAAAAATAATTCAGTGCATTATCAGTTTTTTAACAAAACCTTTTAAGATACATTTTTGCTTACTTTCCTAAATCTATATTTAAAAATTAATTAGTAAAGTTAAATAAAAATAAAACTGATAAAATACATTAGAATATATAAACTCATTTGAATATATTTTGCTTTCAAAATGTAGTTTAAGAAAAGGAAACAATATGCAAAAACAAATGTTTTATTAATCATGCACATTTTTTATTTGATTAGTATTATTAATATAAAATCATGTGTTGAAAAGGACTTAATATATTTAAAGAAAATTACAATTAATAAAATATTATATTTATATTTCAAAGTGTAGTTTAAAAATACACAAAATACGAACTAAAAAAAGATGTTTAATAATGTCTTCATTGAAGCACACATTTAAATCTCATTATTGTATGCATTATTTTGTCACTAAATACAAAACGAGCCCAGATGATGGTGTATATTCAGTGCTGAATGTGCTGCGGTGCGTTTCCTGTGTGCGCAGGAAGTGATGTCAGACCTGGAGGAGAGCAAGTATCAGAACGCTGAGCTGCGTCTGTCCATTTACGGCCGATCCATGGATGAGTGGGACAAACTGGCGCTGTGGGCCGTCTCTCACTCAGTCTACTCTGACAACGTCCGCTGGCTCGTCCAGATCCCACGACTCTTGTGAGGAGAGACACACACACACACACACAAACACACACACACACAGTGAGTTTGAGACAGTGTGTTGTGTGTTTGTCCGCAGTGACGTTTACCGCACTAAGCAGCAGCTGAGTAACTTCCAGCAGATGCTGGAGAACATCTTCCTGCCGCTGTTCGAGGTCACCATCAATCCCAGCAGCCACCCGCAGCTGCACCTGTTACTGCAGCATGTGAGTCACACACACACACACACACACGTGCGCACACACACACTCTCGACACAGTCAGACCTAGGGTTGCAAAAAGGTGGAAAATTTCCAGTAAATTTTGGAAACTTTCTAGGATTTTTTGGAATATTCCAGGGATTTTTGGAAAGTTTCCGGACATTTTCCATCCCTTTTGCAACCCTAGTCAGACTTTATCATTAAAACTACAACCATAAAATACATTTTCGTTACTTCAAATAAAATAAAATACATAAATATTTCAGCTAGTTGCCAAGCAATGTCATTTTAGTATTATTTACATATAAACATGTTTTGTGTCTTAAGATAATTCATATAAATTCAAGTCAAAGTCAATAAATTCAAGACTCTTGACAAGACAAATAAAATAACATACAATTTTGTGCAGAATACACATTTATTTGTCAGTCTCTCTCTTTCTTTCAAAATTTTAAATTCGAAATTTAAATGTGAGATTCTGGAAACGAGATCTAAATTTAGCGGGAACAATCGGGTCCGGAAGAAAATTATTCACAAAGAGTGAATATAGCGGTAGCGGGTGACTGCGGAATAGATCCCTTGCTTAAAGAAACAGTCCCGCGCAGACCTCTAGTTTATTTGTCAGCCTATCTCTCTTTCTTTCAGTAGCGGAAATTTAAATGTGAGATTCTGGAAACGAGATCTAAATTTAGCGGGAACAATCGGGTCCGGAAGAAAATTATTCACAAAGAGTGAATATAGCGGTAGCGGGTGACTGCGGAATAGATCCCTTGCTTAAAGAAACAGTCCCGCGCAGACCTCTAGCTGCAAGCGCTGAATTAAAGTAACAGCGCATTGTTTGCAGTAAATATGAACATGGATTGACACGAAAATGTAGTAATTACACCATAAATGCATATTATTAAAGTCTACGGTGTTTCACAGTCAACACATATGGCTTCTTGGCTAGGTTTAAAGGGAAAGAGCACTTTTAGATAAACAAGGCAATAATAGATGGCACTCGTGGAGGAAGAAAAACAAAGTTCTTTATGAACCGCAGGATTGCTTGTAATTACGATTTCAATGCAAAAGGAGAGGCGGTAGAGCTGACTGTTTCTGACAATGGTAAGTTTGTGATAACGTAAGAAAAGTAGTTTAAATGTGTTGCCACTTGCTTGAGCAACTTAATATATAAATCTAGAATTAAATGCAAAAGTAAAAAGCATTGAATGTGTTGCTTATATTTATTGTGGTTAAACATGTCTGTGAAAGATTATATTACTGTACTGTGTAAAAAAAAAAAAAGAATTGCAATGCTGAAAAAGCATTTTGGATTTGAAATCAAAATAATGGATAAATGTTTTGTTTGTGGTAAACACGGACCAGTAGCGGACTCCTGTGTGAAAGCTGCTCCTCTCACAAGAGTCACCTAAGAGGGGAATTCCCCCATTTTCAAAAATGAAATTCAGGCCCTGAATAAATGTCTAAAAATCCTGATTGGAGTATCACTATAAATAGTTATAAATGATAAAAAGTAGGCTTTAAAAAGATCGTTATCGGCAGATACTGCTTTCTGCGATCGGCCTCAAAAATCCTGATCGGAGCACCCCTAGAATAGTTTATCGTGCACATTAGAGACTATATAAAAACACTTAACAAGGACATTTCCTGTTGAAACAGGAAGCAGTCACTGTCATTTTAGAGAGCGTCTGATTGGACAGAAGTCTATGGAGTGCACGATGATGTCATCGGTGCCTCTAGTTTGTTTGAGTGGAGGAGAAAAACTAACTGTAAGCCACAAATCGTTCATTTTAATGTGTAGGTGGTGGGATTCGACAGCGTGGACGACGAGTCCAAACCGGAGCATCACGTCTTCAACCTGGACAGTCCGTCTCCGGCGCGCTGGTGTGACGACGACAACCCGCCGTACTCCTACTACCTGTACTACATGTACGTCAACATGACCGTCCTCAACCACCTGCGCAGGTACTCACACACGCCACATCATGTGATCGAATCGCTTTATAAAGAATCACCTGAATCACCTGTCCGTCTCTGTGAGCAGGAGGCGGGGCTTCAACACCTTCGTACTGCGACCTCACTGCGGGGAGGCGGGGCCTATCCATCACCTGGTGTCTGGATTCATGCTGTCAGAAAACATCTCCCACGGACTACTGCTCAGGAAGGTACGTGGACGCTAGGGAGGGAATCAAAAGAAACCGATTCACTAAAGAACCGCTTCAAAAGAGTCATTCGTTCAGAAATCAAGACTACCGGTTGTGCAGTGCTTGTGTGATTCAGTAAAATGAACTGGTTCACTTAAAGCACCAGTTCAAAAGAGTCACCAGTTTAGGAATGTGACTGTGTTTGTGTTTGATTCATAAGAACCATTCATCTGGGAATCGGATTACACTAGCCACACTATACTATGTGTCTTTGATTCACTAAAACGAACTGGTTCATAAGAATCTTTAGTCCTGGAATTGGATTACATTGGTCACGCTATGTGGATTTAATTCACTAAAATGAATCGGTTCAAAAGAGTCAATTGTTCAGGAATCAGACTATAACTGGTTGGGCTGTATGTCTTTGATTCACTAAAATGAACCGCTTTAAAAGAGTTTTTTTTTTTTTTTTTTTTTCAAGAATTGGACTATAAAGGTTTTTTTGAGTGAATCAAACACATACAGAGTAACCTATGTAGTCTGATTCCTGAATTAACAATTCTTATCAACCGATATCGATTCATAAGTTACTTGTTTGGGAAATCGGTTACAGTATCTTTTTTTCTCTGCTTTTAAGAGTCGTTCTAGTTGCACTACATGGTTATGATTCACTAAAAAGGTTCAGTTGTTAAAAGTCGTGCATTCGGTGGTCATATTTCACTAGTTGCACTATGTAGCTCTGATTTACTAAAAAGATTCAGTTCATCGGAGTCATTTGTTCAGTAATCAGACTACCCTGGTTGCGTCATTCGGTTTTTAAGAATTTGTTTTCAACCCTAATGAGCACACATAATTAAGCAGTTGTAATCTGAATCAAACACATGCAGCACAGCCAGTGTAATCCAGCCATTTCCTGAAAGAAGGGCTCTTATGAGTCGGCTCTTTTTAGCGAATCAAACAAATGCAGTGCAACCATTCCAGTCCAGTTAATTTCAAGACAAACACCTCTGAATGAACCGGTCCTTTTTATTGACTCAAAACTGTACAGCACCACCAGTGTAGTCTGATTCCTGAACAAACAAGTCTTATGACCTGGCTCTTTTTATTGACTCAAAAAGTGTAATGAAGTTCGATTCCTTACCCTGCACTGGACTGACTGTGAAGTTTTTGGATGTGGACGCTGTGTGGATTTGATTTACTAAAAAGTACCGGTTCATAAGAGTCATTTGTTCAGGAATCGTACTACACTTGTTTCTTTTTAGTGAATCAAACACATACAGAGCAACCAATGTAGTCCCGATGCCTGAATAAATGACTCCTATAAACAAATGACTCGTTCAGTATTTTGTTTTCTCAGCTAGTTTCAGTTGTTGTGATATGTGGCTTTTGATTCAGTAAAAAGATACAGCTCAGGAAAGTTATTGGGTAACGGATTTCACTAGAAGTGTTGATTCATTTAAAGATTCAGTTCAAATGAATCATACTACCCTGGTTGCCTCATTTGATTCCAGTACTTTTAAAAGAACAGTAACTATTTGTTTTTAGCTAATACAGAGCAACCAATATAGTCTGACTCCTTAACAAATGAACTTTATGAATCAGTCCTTTTTAAGTGAATCAACACACAGCACAACCAGTGTAGGTTCACATGACCTTATTTTGATTCAATAAAACAGTTCAGTTCAAAAGAGTAATTTGTTTAGAAATCAGATTTCACTAGTCAGTCAAAAAAAACAAAAAACATACAGTGCAACTAATGTAGTTTGTTTTTGCTTCACTAAAAAGAACCAGTTCAATCTGTCACTGTGTGTTTGATGCACTTTGTAAGAGTCCGTCATTCAGGAATCATTGGTTTTCAGTATTTTGGACAGGTTCTCGTTTACTACACTGGATAAACACCCAGAGCTGAATGCGTGAGCGGGAAGTGGAGGTCAGATGAGCAGTGATCGTGTACCTGTGTGTGTGTCGTAGGCTCCGGTCCTGCAGTATCTGTATTATCTGGCTCAGGTGGGCATCGCCATGTCTCCGCTCAGCAACAACAGTCTGTTTCTGAGTTACCATCGCAACCCTCTGCCTGAGTATCTGTCCCGCGGCCTGATGGTGTCGCTGTCCACCGACGACCCGCTGCAGTTCCACTTCACTAAGGTGAGCGGCGGCGGCCCGAGGCGCTCCTGTCTGAGGACTCGTGTCGTGTGTGTATATGTAAACGTGTGTGTGTTTCAGGAGCCTCTGATGGAGGAGTACAGCATCGCCGCTCAGGTGTGGAAACTGAGCTCATGTGACATGTGTGAACTCGCTAGAAACAGTGTGTTAATGAGCGGCTTCTCACACAAGGTAACACACACACACACTCACTCACACACACACACACACTCTCTCTCACACACACACACACACACACACAAAATGAAACAGCAGTATAATGTAGAAACTACTGACATTATCAAAACTAAATTAACTTTGAAATGTTTAATCGTCAATAATTCAATATTTTCCATGCATGTTTTGTTAAAATGTATATAATCATATTTTTTTCTAGTTAAAATCTAATCCTAAAAACGGCTTGAAATTGGTGTGGAAAATTTTATAAAATTACCTTTTTAAATCCTTTCCTCTAATTTTTAAACTAAACTAAAAAGTAATTTAAAATAAAGTAAAATAAAATAAAGTGGACACAAATGTGTGGGAAAAATTCCAAATAAATAAAATGACACTGTAACATTCACTACAATAGAAATGACAGATATAAAATATAACATGTTATGTAAATGTATATACATAAAATAAATTAATATCAACTTAATTAAAGGATTCAATTTAATTTGGTAACTTAAATTTAATTAAATATAAAACTAAACTGAAATATAATTGTATATATTAAATACAACAGAATTATATTACTATTATTATGCACATTCATATAAATATATTAAAAACTAAATTTAATACAGTAATTCAATAATTATTAATCTATATTATTATTAAATAGTAGGGGTGTGACGAGACGCTTATCCCACGAGACGAGACATGAGACGGTTCACGAGAACGAGACAAGGTTTTTTTTAGACGTTTTAAAAGAAATCCTCAATGATGAAATATATAGGGAAATAGTATTTTATTCAGCAGAAAAACACAAAATGCAAAAAATTTATATATATATAACACGATTCTCTCACGATTCTGAAGAAAAAAAGATTAGAAAACTAAACAAAATAACGTAATTTACTAGTGGTTCTGACAAAATGTTCATTGCTTAAGTCTTTTTTTTTTTAAATATATTAATTTGAACAAAATAAAAAATAAAAAATTCAATGGAGTCAGTGTCTCAATTCATAAAGACATGTTTCACAGTTGGAATCTCCTGAATGAATAATTCAATGACAAATACTTTTTTAAACGGGCAGTTGTCACCACCTCCTGGAGGAAGAGTATAAGCGTTACAATACATACGAGTGTTAAAGGATTAGTTCACTTCTGAATTAAAATTTCCTCACCCCCATGTCATCCAAGATGTTCATGTCTTTCTTTCTTCAGTCGAAAAGAAATTAAGGTTTTTGAGGAAAACATTCCAGGGTTTTTCTCTATAAAAACTGAATTGGTGGGTTTTTGTTAAATGTGAGCCAAAATCATCTCAATTAAAAGAACCAAAGACTTAAACTACTTCAGTCTGTGTGCATTGAATTTATTTAATACACAAGTTTCACAATTTGACTGTAGAGAATAAGAGTTTATACCCAAACTATAAACTTTTATCCCAGTACTTCTGTTATTTAAATGTCTGTAACACAGAAATAATGATGTGTGGTTAAAAGACTGTTTGAGTTGCTCTTTCTGGATCAGCAGCAGCATGAATGATTCATTAACATGGGCAGCGACAAAACGTACTCGCGATGTGAAACAGTTGTAATAGACATAGCTGAATCGTTGTCATTCAGGAATAAGCTGCGAGGATATCGTCACGTTCTTGCAAGACCAGACGGATATCTAGCGAGACGCATCGGATCTCACATCCCTATTAAATAGTATAATTATACATGCTATTAATATTAATGATAGTGTATATTTGTTAATCAAATATATAATTACAATTATATTACCATACGTTATATTTACAATTACAAATATTTTATGTTTTATACATTCTATTATTAATGTTAAACATGTACATATTGATTTATACCATGTATAACAATGGCATCATATTATTATTATTATTACTATACATTATAATTATTATATTACAGTAATATTTATATTATACACATCAATATATTAAAAACATGCATAATAATTCACTCAATAATTATTCATCTAAAATTTTCCTATAAAGCTGCTTTGAAATGACGCATGACTCTCTTTTCTCCTCGTTTCAGAGTAAGAGTCATTGGCTGGGTCCTGATTACACTAAAGAGGGTCCCATCAGTAACGACATTCGGCGCACAAACGTCCCAGATATCCGTGTGGGGTATCGATACGAGACTCTGTGTGAAGAGCTGCACCTGATCACGCAGGCCATACGAACGCAGGAGCTGGACAGAATCGAGGAGGAGGACGGGCTATCATTCACATCCAGCCAACCAACACGCTAGAGACGAGCCCTGACCCCGCCCACACCCCGCCTGTCCAATCAACATGCTCGAGACTAGCCTTGACCCCGTTACATCCAGCCTGTCCAATCAACACGCTCGAGATGCGATCTGACCCCGCCTGTCCAATCAACACGCTCGAGATGCGATCTGATCCTGCCCACACCCCGCCTGTCCAATCAACACGCTCGAGATGCGATCTGACCCTGCCCACACCCTGCCTGTCCAATCAAAACGCTCAAGTAGCGATCTGAACCCACCCACACCCCGCCTGTCCAATCAACACGCTCGAGACTAGCCTTGACCCTCTTACACCCTGCCTGTCCAATCAGCATGCTCGAGATGAGATCTGACCCCGCCCACACACCGCCTGTCCAATCAGCACGCTCAAGACAAGCCATGATCCCACGACAGTCTATATTATTCAAGTATAATATTATAATTTGCTTTCAACATTATGTTAAAAACAATATATAATAGCTAATGCTTTTCACAAACTATTAGAATTAGAATTATTATACATACTATTATATGAATAGTAGCACCCCCTCCCCCCATATGCATTTTGCTTTAGCTACTGTTTGAAGGTTTAATTTGTGATTATAACTCACTGTGAACACATCTTTTAGTCTCTTCTTCTATTATCCGTTATATTTTCTCGTCATTTTGAAGGATTTATTTTCTCTGATGGCTGAACTGTTCAGAAGTGAATGTCCTCCAGTCCTGCAGGAGGCGCAGTTAAGCCAAAACCTCTTTTTTCTAATCCTAAACCTCCTGAACTCACCGAACCTTCGGTTTCTGTGATGTTTGCAAAGCAGTTTACGTAACATATATTATACGCTCGACATTGATGTTAGTTTTGAGTTTGTTGCATTTTCCGATCCTGCATGTGCTCGGTAGATTGAGTTGAACGTTAAACTGACTGTTAATCGCCACACAGTATTATGACACTAAACTAATAAATCACACCAAACGTGACTCAAAAAAAGCATCATTTATAGAAACTAGCACATTAATCCAGAGCAAAGCATGACGCACAACACGCTAGAAAGCAAACGATCATGAATAATTGTACGAAATGTATGAGAATGAGTGTTTTGTTGATTTTAATAAAGCATGTGTTTAATCTCATCTGGGTTTTTGTGCATCTCTGTATCAAAAAACGGTGATTGTATACAAATCCAGATCGTCAAAACCAGCTGCAGGGTCATTTTGACCCAGAAAGATACACATAAAAAAAAAAGAATGCATGGTTTACAGTAACGGAATGAAACTTTGCAAACGTTTTAACAGCCTTAAAATAAACGCCATTTATTAGTATTATATATATATATTTTTTTTTTTTTCCAATTATTTTTAAAAAAGATATAAACATTTAAAAGGTTTGGGTAATTTTTGACCCGTGTATGTATGGAGTACCATTCGTGTCATAAATACTTTCTGTAAAATGATCTATTAAGTTACATTTCTGTCAAAACACTTTTGTAAAACATATTTAGCCTTTTCATAATCTCACACACTTTTTGGGACTGAATTAACAAAACACAGGGTTCGTATTTGACTTTTTAAAATTCAAGTCCTGGAAAACCCTCAAAAACACCCGTATTTACTAATTATTGAAAAACAATAGAAATGAAATGGGAGTTAATTATTATAATTTTTTTAATTCAAGAAAATGTTTTCAGGCAAAATTAATGTTGCATAGGTCGTTCTAGACCATGGGGTTTTCAACCTTTTAGGACATGCGCCCCTCTAAGTTGGTCTAATTTCACTCGCGCGCCCCCCACAACATCCAACAACCCCCCCCCCCAAATATCCATTAAAGTTATTAAAGCAGCGAACAATTTTTCTTTTGCTCTTTCTGATTAACATTGTTTACATAAGAAGTGCACGGATCCGTTATGCTGATGTACATTTGATATTTTCTTTACTGTTTATTCACTTAAAACAACCGACTGTGCTTACAAGGATACTTGTCAAGACAGCCATTGGTGTTCACCTGCTGTCTGAGAAGGCTATCTGTTTGTGCACTTCAGGTGTGTGAGCGGTGCGCATAGAAACACTCTATCACAGTGCGTGAGTTCCGCATTGAGATGTCTTAAATGGCTTAACATTACTTTAATGTTTAAACTGACAAGACTTAAAACACGTGAGAATGAAAAACTTTCTCGAGGAAGCAGTGTAAAAGGAATAGACAAGCACCTATTAGCCCAAGTTTCGTGCACTATATATTCAAAGTCATCACATATATGTATACAGGGCTCTCAAGTTTGATCAAAGTTTGAGATTACATCTGTTAGGGGAGGAGCCACTCAAAATATTTGCAGCACCGGCCCCTCGGCCCCACCCAATTCTCTCAAGTTTTTGCTAGCAGGTCAGGTTTTACCTGTTGTTCATAATTGACAGCAATTAGTAAATAAGATAAAAGACAAATTCATTCAAACAAAGTAATTGAAATGTATTTCAAAAATACAAATGTATCAAAAATAAAAAGACATTTGGCCACAAACGAGCCACCTGAACAGCAGTGCTCAATGCACACACTGTACACATACAATAGGGTTTCAGAACCTGCCCTGAGCATGTGTGTCAAGCTATGTGTGTGTGAGAGAAAGAGAGTAAGCATATTAAAGCTTATGAAAGGTGTTTTGTGTTTGATGCATATTTTGATGCCAGGGTTAGGGGCTCCCACTAAAAGCACTGTGCTATTTTCACTGTTATGAATGATAGCATTGCGTCCAGAGCCAAACTGTTCCTAGCTTTGGTTCGTTCAAACACTCTCTGCATCAGCTCTCACTATCTTTGATCACAGGCAAGTGATTTCGTCCAGGAATCATAAAATCAAAATGCTAAAAAATGCTCGCATCCATGCTGCTTAGTAACGAACGTGCTTGCAGCGGGATCACGTAATTTACACGGAAACGACACCATTCTAATTTCTGATTGGCTGGTAGTGGCATTTAACCCTGTATAACTCAAGACGGCTATGAACTCGGCAGAGAACTTCCCTCCGTATGACAGCACCTTAGAGAGCCCTGGATAATATGTATGTGTGTGTGTATCTGTAGTCCTTGAAAATCTAAAAAAGTTGTGCTTGAGAAGTCTTGGAATTTCATTTGACAGTATCTGCACGAGCTCTGAACACATGAATATGTACGTGTATTAACATACCATTGCAGCGTGAAACACTGGTCACTTTTTTCATATGCAAGTAAAATGAATTTATTTTGAACATTCAGAGGAACATTTATGTTGTTTTGTTAGAAATAAGTATGTAGGTTTTATAAATATGGAGTGTTCTTGAGCAATCAAGAGTTGTGAATTTAATTAGATTCTGTTCATTTCATTGGGTTAATACTGATAATTATCAGATTACGTGCTCTTATAAATTTCATGCAATGATATTTTCAGATTAAATTTTTCTTCAATATTGACAAAAATATAAATACATTTTGCATCATAGTTTTTTTTTGGTCTGGTTCATTAGTCATTTTAAATGTCAAAGAATTTCTCAGTTTTTTTCAAACGTAAATGTAGGAATAACATGGTGAAATGTGTTCATGTGAAAATACGTTCACTCAAATTGCTGATCAAATACAATATAGCTTTAGTTGAAAAATATTAAAGGGGTCATATGATGCGATGTCAATTGTTCCTTTCTCTTTGGAGTGTTACAAGCTCTTGGTGCATAAAGAAGATCTGTAAAGTTGCAAAGACTAAAGTCTCAAAGTCAAGCTATGTGTGTGTGTGAGAGAAAGAGAGTAAGCATATTAAAGCTTATGAAAGGTGTTTTGTGTTTGATGCATATTTTGATGCCAGGGTTAGGGGCTCCCACTAAAAGCACTGTGCTATTTTCACTGTTATGAATGATAGCATTGCGTCCAGAGCCAAACTGTTCCTAGCTTTGGTTCGTTCAAACACTCTCTGCATCAGCTCTCACTATCTTTGATCACAGGCAAGTGATTTCGTCCAGGAATCATAAAATCAAAATGCTAAAAAATGCTCGCATCCATGCTGCTTAGTAACGAACGTGCTTGCAGCGGGATCACGTAATTTACACGGAAACGACACCATTCTAATTTCTGATTGGCTGGTAGTGGCATTTAACCCTGTATAACTCAAGACGGCTATGAACTCGGCAGAGAACTTCCCTCCGTATGACAGCACCTTAGAGAGCCCTGGATAATATGTATGTGTGTGTGTATCTGTAGTCCTTGAAAATCTAAAAAAGTTGTGCTTGAGAAGTCTTGGAATTTCATTTGACAGTATCTGCACGAGCTCTGAACACATGAATATGTACGTGTATTAACATACCATTGCAGCGTGAAACACTGGTCACTTTTTTCATATGCAAGTAAAATGAATTTATTTTGAACATTCAGAGGAACATTTATGTTGTTTTGTTAGAAATAAGTATGTAGGTTTTATAAATATGGAGTGTTCTTGAGCAATCAAGAGTTGTGAATTTAATTAGATTCTGTTCATTTCATTGGGTTAATACTGATAATTATCAGATTACGTGCTCTTATAAATTTCATGCAATGATATTTTCAGATTAAATTTTTCTTCAATATTGACAAAAATATAAATACATTTTGCATCATAGTTTTTTTTTGGTCTGGTTCATTAGTCATTTTAAATGTCAAAGAATTTCTCAGTTTTTTTCAAACGTAAATGTAGGAATAACATGGTGAAATGTGTTCATGTGAAAATACGTTCACTCAAATTGCTGATCAAATACAATATAGCTTTAGTTGAAAAATATTAAAGGGGTCATATGATGCGATTTCAATTGTTCCTTTCTCTTTGGAGTGTTACAAGCTCTTGGTGCATAAAGAAGATCTGTAAAGTTGCAAAGACTAAAGTCTCAAACCCAAAGAGATATTCTTTATAAAAGTTAAGAGTCAACCGCGCCTACCTAAAACGACTCGTTCTAACACGCCCCCACATGTCTACATCACTGTGTGGGAAGATTTGCATAATGCCGCCCAAAAGTGTTCACGCAAAGAAAGAAGCCGTAACTTTTATTCTCGCTGTAGTATTGTTGCCGCCGCCGCCATGTCGTAAAGATGCTGTGTGCTTCGTTGTGAAAGCGAAACTACTTTGTTTGGTCTTCCAAAAGAGGACGATATCCGCTTCGTCATGCCTAGAGCTGATCCGTGCTGGTCGCTGAGGAAATACATCAACTTTCACCGTGGACAAAGCGGAGTCCAGCCCGCCTCAGCTCACTCTATCCCGGCCTCAGCGCACGCTAAGACGGGGCTTCCCCTCACGCTCACGCTGTGTTTTTCGTTGCCACTGATGATTCAAACGCGAGTTTTGGGCAGTAGAGTAGCACTTGTTGTTTGTCATTTCTCCGATCAAGAGTTTTATGTTTACGCGGCATGATGCAATGCAACGCAACGCAAAGTATGGTGAGGGGTGTAACATTTCCGTTACATGCTTGAGGTATTCGGCCAATCACAACGCACTGGATAGCTGGCCAATCAGAGCACACCTCGCTTTTCAGACCGATGAGCTTTGTAAAAATCGACGTGTTTCAGAAAGGCGGGGTATAGAGGAGAAACACTAATGTACAGTATGTGGAAAAGAATGTTTTTTTAACCTTAAACCGCATTAACACATTTCATTACACCAAATACACAAAATAATGTTCTTTTTAGCAACATCATATGACCCCTATAAGTTATGACCATTTTATAAAACGTCCAAACGGAACCGGAATGCAGAAATAGCATACATATTTAGTTATTTAGCGTCATTTTCTTCAGCATCTGGTTGTGGCTCAGATCATCGGCCTCACTTCACTGGCCATCTGGAGAGAGTGAAGATGAGGTCAGTGTGATGATGATGATGATGATGATGATGATGGGGGTGGTGATGTACTCACCGCCAGGGCTGATTTGATGTTCTGCAGCTGGTAGAAGACGCGTCCTCCCTCCTCCGGACAGACGGTCTTGAGCTCGTCACGCGTCATTCCCAGCAGCATCGAGCCGCTGACGCCTCCTAAACACCGCACCGTACTGACAAACACAGAAGATTTACATACTGCATGCTAATACTCATATCCCACAATGCAATGCACTTGAATCAACATATTAGTCGAGATTTTTTGGTTTTGACTCATTATTTGATCACATGAAAAAGTGAAAAAAAAAGACAAGTACAATGACACTATAATGTTATGTATTGTTGTTTATGTTATGCAATGTTATGTTTAATTATGTATACAATAATGCTAGAATCATTTATATATAATATAGATTTAAAAAATGTTCAGTTGATGGACGTTGGGTTTTATAATAAAGCAATTTGTGCTGAAAGAGAAATTAAAACAAATGGGACATAAAAAGTAAAAAAAAGTGTGTGAGATATAATAAGAAATTATTCATTTAAATTTCAAACTAAACTGAAATAAACTTAAATAATTGAAATAAAAAAATATATTAATATATGAAAAAATTGGTGCTGTAATTATATATTTTAATATTAATATTACACAATTAGAATATTACATTAAAAAATATATAAAATTGATACTTCACGCAATAATAATTCAATATACTATAAAGCTTCTTTGAAATGCTGCATAAAAAGCTATTGATTAACATGATTTAATAAGAAATTATTAACTTAAATCTAATTAAATGTAAAACTTGCTAGTTTTTTTATTTAAAAATATATTAAAAAACAAGCATCCATATTACTATATACACACTGTATTTTAATAATAATGTAAAAAATATAATTACTTTATTATACATAACAATACTACATATAAATGCATCATTCATACATTATAATAACTATAAATATATAATTACAATAATTAATTAATTAATAATAATTCATCAATATTTCCTAAAATGCTTATTTGAAATGATGCATAAAACAATACTGACTCACAGAAAGTGACATTTTACACAAAATTGATTAAATATGCAAAAAAAATAAAAAATACTATTTATTCACCTCTAAATGAACTGTCACTGTAAACATGAATATTAGGTCACTAAATTAAACATGCTGCATTAGGGGAAAAAAGGTGGTTTTGCATGCATACCACATTCTATTCTAATAACTATAATTATGATAATTATAATAATTCACTCATTAATAATAACTGCATTTTTTCTATAAACGATGCATGAAACACTACTGACTCACACAGACTGACAAATGCAACATTTTTAAGCAAAATTGCCTGCAGAATAAAATATCAGAATGCAACTGAATTACTGAAATAAACATGCAACACAATGAGGTCACGAGCTGCTTATTTTGCACACATAGTGCAGTGTATAGTGTGGCTTTGCTCACATTTTGCTGAAGCCCTTGTGCTCCAGCCAGGCCCGCACCTCCTCGGGTCGTGATTTTCGGGTGAGTGTGGGCACAGATGGGGTTTCCTGTGGGTCAGGAGGCGGCGCTCGTGATTGTGATAACATCATGATCATCAGATGTACAGGTGAACACGACTGATATACGTACAGGTTTGTCCTGCTGCTGCGGAGGCTGGAGCATGTTGTTTGGGACGTAACCGATCTGGCCTTTTTCATTCTTCACCTTCCACCACTGTTTAGACATGTCCAACAACTACACACACACACACACACACACACACGGTTAGAAACACTCCTCACCAGTGACATTAAAGCTTGTTCCTGTAAATGGAGTCTGGAAGAGGCTGCCGGGGTCCACAGAAAAATGTATGTACGCATTTATGTATTAAAAAACTTCCTGTTCAAAAACTTTTGACTGGTAGTGTAAACACACACATTCTATCTCTCTATTACATGTTAAATCAATCCTTTTTTATTGAGTCGGTAAACTCAAACTGAGAGTCTGTATCAGGTTTGATGTGTGTGTTTTGTGTCTCACCTGTAGTTGTTCACCTTTACAGATGGAAAGCTCTCGTGGGTTTCGTGCTGTGAAATCAAACACAGCTCTCATGAAGCTCACCGGTAACTCCTCTAAACTGCAAACACACACACAGTGTCACACACTCGCCGTATGGCAGCACATCTCACATGTCTTATGTGTTCAGATGTGTGTATCTTGTGTCCGTACCTGTCCTCAGGCTCCGGCGGCAGTCTGTTGCTCTACACAAACAAACAGAGAGCATTAAAACAGCTGAATGATAGGATGATCATGTGATCGTGTGTCCGGTCTGTTCATACCATTTGTCGTGTCACAGGCACTCGAGCTGGCTCTCGTTTGCTTGTGTTAGCATTCGTGTTTGTGACGCTTGGCTCTGGGTTTCTGATGGCTGGCGGCTCCCATCCGTCATCAAACAACGGCGTGAAGGTGGGAATATCATCATCATCCTCCGGCCACTTAGTGCTTCATCACACACACACACAAAAACACAATGTCAAATCTTATGATAAATCGCTTGTTGTATTCCTCAACAGTAAGTCGATTTAGATAAACGCATCTGCCAAATGAATAAATGTAAATGCAAAACCACATTTCTGAGTCTGTGTGTGTAAGTCTGAGAGTGTTTAAGTCAGTCTGAGTGTGTGTGTGTGTGTGTCTAAATGTGTGATATTGTGTGTGTGTGTGTGTGTCTAAATGTGTGATTGTGTGAGTATGCGTGCAAGTCTAAACTTTGTGGGAGTCTGAGTGAGTCTGTGTGAGCCTAAACTGTGTGTGTAAATGTGTGAGTTCGTGTGTGAAAGAGTCAAAACTGCGTTTGAGTCTGATTGTGTTTGTGTGAGTCCGAGTGAGTGTGTGTGTGTGTGTGTGTGTGTGAGAGAGTCTAATCTCTGTGCGAGTCTGAGTGTGTTTGTGTGAGTGAGTCAGTGTGTGTGAGTCTAAACTGTTTGTGTGTGAGTCTGTGTGTTTGTGTGTGAAAGAGTCTAAACTGTGTATGAACCTGATTGTGTTTGTGAGTCTGAGTGTGAGTGAGTGAATCTGAATGTGTACGTGTGTGTGTGTGGTGTGTGTGTGTGTGAGAGAGAGAGAGTCTGTGTTTGTGTGTAAGTCTAAACTGTGTGTGAGTCTGATTGTGTATGATCCTTGTGGACGAGTGTGCGGGTTTGAGTCTGAGTGTATAAGTTTAAGTGTGTATGAGTCTGGAGTGTGAGCGAGTCTGAGTGTGTTTGTGAGTGAATCTGAATGTGTAAGTGTGTTTGTGTGCGAGTCTGAGTTTGTGAAAGTCTGTGTTTATGTGCGAGTTTAAACTGTGTGTGAGTCTGAGTGTGTATGAATCTTGAGTACGAGTGTGTGTGTGTGTTTGAGTCTGAGTGTGTAAGTCTAAGTGTGTATGAGTCTGGAGTGTGAGCGAGTCTGAGTGTGTTTGTGAGTGAATCTGAATGTGTAAGTGTGTTTGTGTGCGAGTCTGAGTTTGTGAAAGTCTGTGTTTATGTGCGAGTTTAAACTGTGTGTGAGTCTGAGTGTGTATGAATCTTGAGTACGAGTGTGTGTGTGTGTTTGAGTCTGAGTGTGTAAGTCTAAGTGTGTATGAGTCTGGAGTGTGAGCGAGTCTGAGTGTGTTTGTGAGTGAATCTGAATGTGTAAGTGTGTGTGTGTGTGAGAGAGAGAGAGAGAGAGAGAGTCTGTGTTTGTGTGTAAGTCTAAACTTTGTGTGAGTCTGAGTGTGTATGATTCTTGAGGACGAGTGTGTAGGTTTGAGTCTGAGTGTATAAGTTTAAGTGTGTATGAGTCTGGAGTGTGAGCGAGTCTGAGTGTGTTTGTGAGTGAATCTGAATGTTTGTGTGTGTGAGAGAGAGAGAGAGAGAGAGATAGTCTGTGAGTAAGTCTAAACTATGTGTGAGTCTGAGTGTGTATGAGTCTTGAGTATGAGTGTGTGTGTTTGAGTCTGAGTGTGTAAGTCTAAGTGTGTATGAGTCTGGAGTGTGAGCGAGTCTGAGTGTGTTTGTGAGTGAATCTGAATGTGTAAGTGTGTGTGTGTGTGTATGTGTGTGTGTGTGTGTGTGTGAGAGAGAGAGTCTGTGTTTGTGTGCGAGTCTAAACTGTGTGTGTGAGTCTGAGTGTGTATGAGTCTTGAGTGTGTGTGAGTCTGAGTGTTTTACCTGGGAATGTTCCAGGCATCTCCCAGCGACTGCCACAGATGATCCTCCTCCGGCGTCGCCTCTTCGCTCAGAAAAATCACACACTCCGGCTCAAAGAGAGGAGCCACGATAGATGGAGGGAGATCCTCATTACAGTGAAACACAACCTACACACAAACACACACGTCAGATCAACACCACAGACAGACAAACAGACAGACAAGCAGACACGCATCTCACCAGATCCAGTATAGAGAACAGACAGTGAACGAGTTCAGCGGCGCTGGGATTGTTAATCTTCCCCTGCAGGCTGGCCTGATGAGCACAGATTGTTTGACATTGTTATTATTATTAGTTTTAAACCATTTAAAAATATATCATATAATATAAATAACATATTTTAACATGTTTAATATACATTTATTCAATATATAGACATAAGTTCCATCATATCATATAAAATGAAACGGACAGTGTCTGACGCACCAGCAGGTTAAAGGCCATCTTGATTTTCCTCAGACAGACGGAGAACTGCTCCTCTGACGGCATTCCCTTCACAGCTACAGCAAACAGACACACACACGTCAACAGAGCCTTCATCAGCTCAGCTCATACACTCACACCAGTCCTCTCACTCACCCTTATGCTTCTTCTTCTTTTTCTTCTTGTCCATCTTTGACGCGACGGCTGTCAGTCGGCCTGCGAAGGCCTCGATGTCATTAATGAGGTGATTCAGGATGTCCTGCACACAGACGAACGGTTATAATCTCTCATCTTTACATCAGCGCTGCATTATTCTGTCATCAACACTAGGGGTGTGTGATATTGACAAAAAAATATCTTGATATTTTCTGGGATTTTATCGATAACGATAATTAGACGATATTTTGCTGATATGTTGCAGTTGAACTCACTCCTAAAGTTTTTGATATTCTTCATATTTTGTGTGGTGGTCAATTCACACTGATAGAAATTAAACTTTTTCAATAAGTTTAAATGGGCATTTTTACCTTTACAAAGCCTTTTTTTCATCAGCTTTTGAGTCAAAATCTTACATTTAATCAGTGAATTAGAATAATAAGACATTTGGGCTGTTACCAAGCAAATGAAATCAGAATCAACAAAATTCATATTTGCAATGCAGAGGAAACACAGAAGCTGCATCTGAAGTGGCATTTAGATGTGTTTACACTAGTGCTGTGTTCGATACGACGATGTATCGTCACAGAGATTTGACGATACGAGTATCGATACAGCTGTCCCAGTATCGATATTGCAGCACGTGTGCAGCAGTGGACCGCGCTTAATTTGAATACAAGATCAATGTTTAAAACGGAGTAGAAAATTGCAAGGCTTCTAAAAAAGAATGAATAGAGCATATATAGGCTACAACAAGGTTTAATCTGGCCGCAGAGGAACACAACCGGGGTTGCCTGATATAAAGAGACGTAATGCTCAAAACAGAGCTTCCTACTTGCACAATACAGAAATATCTGCTAAGCGTGCTACTTATTTATGTCTACCTGGCAACCATGTGCACGCGCTCTATCTCCACTGTGGATAAACGCGCTTGCTTTCTGAAAACACCGGTTAGCTTGCAGTTTTAGCCATCTCCACTTCAATACTCTATTCTCAGAAAACTGTAATGTGTAAAGTGTGAGAGAGAGAGAGAGAGAGAAAGAGGGAGAGAGAGAGAGAGAGAGAGAGAGAGAGAGAGAGAGAG